GGCACTTCTTCCAGCTTGCCCCCGAAGCCCGGGGTCGTGAAGGGACTCCAGTTGAACTCCTGCTGGTGCCTGTTGACGGGACGGGCCTGACGGGCTTTTTCACTCATGCATTCCCCAAGTGTTGCTGTTCTCTAACTACAGTGTATACTCGACTAAAACTAAACTCGTATTTTTGCTGTTTAAAAAATGGAAGAATTGGCTTCATGCGTTGAACTTTTGTGTTGGGGTGTAAGCTTTCGAGTGGTGAAGCATTTCCTGAAGTGAAACGTTTCCTCAGTTGAAATAAGTAAGTTACCCGGTCGATATCAATGTTATTTAATTCGCTTTACACGGAATTTGCTCTACCGAAGCAATCGTCCCAGTCCCGAAACACTAATTGTAATTTCTGATTCGCGCGCGGGGATTTGAATAAGACATCTTCCGATGAAGTTTGCGTGGAAACACTTGGCACACTAGTTGCGTCTATCTGAACTGAGCTTTTTCCGTTTTTGAATAATTCAAATTTTCAAGTGTTGAATTACAAACGATGAAAAAAAATTGGAATTTTTAAATTTAAATTGATTCATGTTTTACTTGCTTCAAATTCCGTTGCCTCCTTCGTCCCTGTCTCAGACTGAACGAAAGATGGAATGCATCGATTGAATGAAAGGGATTTTCGGAAGGCAAAATGTTGATTCTTTTCGCGGAGGAATGAGGAAATTATCCTGGTTATGTGATCTGATTTTCTCTGCTTGAATTTTGTCAGAAATAGGTATGACAGGAAGAGTAGGTTTGACATGAAAAATAACACNCGATTGAATGAAAGGGATTTTCGGAAGGCAAAATGTTGATTCTTTTCGCGGAGGAATGAGGAAATTATCCTGGTTATGTGATCTGATTTTCTCTGCTTGAATTTTGTCAGAAATAGGTATGACAGGAAGAGTAGGTTTGACATGAAAAATAACACGATGTTCCAAGGTTCTGGAATTTTTTCGGATTCATAACATATTCGGTTTCAACTGTAAGATATTCTGTTGCTTCAACCATTATTTTTTTGCATTTTAGATAATTATTGAAGCATGATTTCAAATTTCCGCTATTTTGACCGAAATTTTTGCACCATTTGACATTTACTGAGCGGGGAAGAGAATAACTCGACTTCTTGCTCTGGGAGATCGAAGAATTTCCTACGTATATTATTTGTTACTTTCATCTTTTCGGCAGGCAAAGGAAGAATTACTTGCAGTTGAGGATGTGAACATACCAAGCAGTCAATGTGTTTATTGTTGGAGAATTTCCCGTGGATGGTCTTCCAGATGCAGCCGATGACGGAGTTGTGCTCCGGGCGTTCGATCGAGCCACTGATGGGCCTCTGCACCATCTCAGTCAGGTTGTTGAGCAACGTGCTGTTCCTGCGTGATCAAGCCGGCCCGTGTCACAACTCTGTCATCGACTCTACTCGATTCCAATCACAATAACATACGCTTATTCATTTATTTATCTATTTATCTACAGTACATGAATGTTACTAAGTATGCATAGATGATTGATGCTGAATGTCCACGCGCGAGGCAATTATTTTTCGGAGATCGAAACTCAAGTGACTGCACTGCTGGTAGCGTTTCCTCTTCACGAGTACAAACTTTCATTTTTGCCAGATACATGTAAAGGTTCAAGTTCAGAGTGAACGATAATTCCTGTTAAGGTAATAACCTGTAAGCATTAAATGAAATCATAGATATATAGAGTAAAATTAAAAGCAACGATTGAAAATTTCGGGAATGCATGAAGTCGGCACAGACCTTTTACGCTTGCCTTTCTTTCTTTTTTTTCACCGCCATTCTTTTGCGCTGGAAGGCCGGGAGTGAACTCAAAGGAAAGGTGACTCGAGAAAAAAAAAATTTCTTTTTTTTTGAGAAGTTCACTGTGCAGTTGTTGAACAGTTTGAAATGTTCCAAGGACGTGCGAATCAGAGGGAACTGGTAATATATTGACCTTTTTAGGACAAAATTTGAGAGTAATTGAGATTGACGGAATGCAGTGACATCTACTCGCTAGAACTAGAATCTCACTGCACAGTAACTCTTTCTAAGAGTTTAGATGACCGTTGCCCAGGGGTAAGGAACTTTCATTTTGCTGGTTTGCAAGGTTGGTATTTTACTGACCTGTCTTTGCGAATGTCGCTGCCATAAATGATGTCTGGTTGGCGCCTGCGAACAATGCATTCGTCCTCTCCGAACATTTCGTTGGTGAAAGCTTGCAAATTCCCAGAGTTGCAAATGGTGTCGTAACCACCCTGAAAAAAAAATCATTGACGCATTTATTTAAAAGTAAAAAAAATTGTCTTTTTGTATATGCAAGTCACCCCCATTCGACGTTTAATTTTATGTCTCCTGCTGCTTCCATCGTCAGTGTAGTCTCGACGGCGTTTGTGACGAGATTTGGTTTTCTGCTGGCTTATTCCATTGGCGACGAAATCCTCCAATTTCTGTTTGGATGAAGCGGAAGGGCCAGGAATTTCATCGAGTTTCCCGGTTTTCATGAAAGAATCAATTTCTTGTGCTGGTTTTTGAGGAGCTTCCGCAGTGGATTTCCGGATGTGTTCCTCACTCTTTTCGAATTCCACGTCGTCCTTGTCAGGTTGTTCCTTTTTGTCAGTTTTATCCATGGCGTTGATTTCGTCTTGCTGGCAATTGTCTTCGGGTCTGAAAGCGAAGCAGTGAAAATATTTCGAGAAGTTTAAATATTTGGATGAATATTTCTCACTTGCTGGCAGGCACAACGTCATCTGCCAGCTTTCTATGCTGTTCATCGCAGCAGTCTAAGCTTTCCAGAAGTTCTCTTTCCAGTCTTTGGGCATCCCTGTTGATGGTGCAATTGATGCACTTGCACACTGCGTTTACTTCTCTCTCCACTGCAGCAGATGATTGGTGCTGTTTAGTTGGACAAGAGTCAATATTAGATTCGCATTTCCCATGTTCTGATGAGTTCAGCAGTGATTTCTGGCGCGTTTGTTCTGACGGAACTCTGAAAATGGTCTAGAACAAGGTTTCCCAACCTTGTAGGGCCCATGGAAAAATATTAAAGTTTGCCTGTTAAAGTTTAAAAACAAATTTCTGCAGGCCTGGAAAGTTTTAAAAAATTTTTGCAGACTCAGAAATTTTTTGGTTGAAGACTTCATGACAGGTATTAAGTTTGATGTATGGCAAAAATTGAGTTGTTAACCTGTGAAGCAACTGAAATGTAAAAAAAATCAATCATTCATTTCAGCAAAGGGAAATATGTCTGAAGCAATCTTGAGAGAAAATCCAACTTTTTTTCAGGTGATTTCAACTGCAATTGTCTTTCCAAATTACAGATAAAGAATGGTCTTCCTTGCTACTTTCAATTAATCTAGGAAAATTTCCCACAGACTGGCAAAAACTTATGGGGACCAAAGGTTCCAGACCTGGGGTTGGGGGAAACTTATAGAACTCATGAAATATATGATTTTTCTGCTTTATGGCACCATTTCCTTAAAAATGATGTTTTCTCCTTGATGCACATGATCAATCCACTGGGAAAAAAAGATAACAGAGCTTTTAAAATTTAAGTTGAATATTTTTATTGTTTCCCTAAGGCTGAGTAGGATGTAGACTAGTGCTGCCCCACTCAGATGTGGCCAAAGCCCACATTAATGCATTTTTTGGCTAAGGCCACATTCCAGAGGTGGAGAGTCCTTGAAGGCCAATGTAAAACATAATTTCAGATTTCAGTTCAGTTAAATCACAATCATAGCCTTTAATTGTTGGAAGGTGGAGTAATAAGTGTCAAGCTGGATCCCGCCCTTGGTTTTATTTGGGGTAGGGTGGGTTAGTCTTTATTGCCTTGCTGAGGCAGAGATACTATCAGACCCTGGAAACAATGTTTGCTCACCACATCTTGCTTGCAGTTACATGCTTGCTTCACAGCAGAATGTTTTGCATTCCTGTTCATTGACATTGAGTCACACTGCATCTCATCCATTTGCATGCTAGTTGGACTTTCAACAATTCCGCACATGTCCATAAACTTATCCAAGTCAATGTCATCAGTTGCTGCACAGCAACATGGAGGTGGACATGGTTTTGGGCATGGTTTAGGACAGCAGCAAGGCTTAGGGCATGGTGGTGGGCAACATGGCTTTGGACAGGGTGGTGGGCAACATGGCTTTGGACAGGGTGGTGGGCAACATGGCTTGGGGCAGGGTGGTGGACAACATGGCTTGGGGCAAGGTGGTGGACAACATGGCTTGGGGCAAGGTGGTGGACAGCAAGGTGGTGGGCAACATGGTTTTGGGCAAGGTGGTGGACAACAGCATGGCTTTGGACAAGGTGGTGGACAGCATGGAGGTGGACAACATGGTTTTGGGCATGGTGGGGGACAGCATGGAGGTGGACACAGGAGGTGGACATGGTTTTGGGCAAGGTGGTGGACAACAGCATGGCTTTGGACAAGGTGGTGGGCATGGCTTTGGACAACAGTCACAGGGCTTGTGAGCCCTGGCACTCTTCCTCAATCTCCTCAATCTTGATTCTCTGGATCTATCATCATCCAAGTGCAAGCACTGCGTTACAGGCTCTCCATCATCATCATAGGTTGTGTCATCATGATATCTGCTCCCTCTTGATTTTGAGGCTGCAGATTTTCTAGGCCGACGTCTGCGTCTACTTCTGGATCTGCGTGATACCACTTTTGGCTGCACATTTGGGTCAGATATCTTGCTTTGAGCTCCTGAGAAAATAACCAATTTTGGTTTGATTTTTTCCTATGCTGCTCCACAAATGTTTGCTTAATGAATCACATATTAGACAACATCATTGGTATTAGTCAAACTATTCTCAATATCAATTATATTGTAAATGTATGCTTAATTCAAATGAGCTTGGTGTATTCATAATTAGAGCAGTGTATGCAACATTCATGCCTCAGTTACATTCATGAAAGGTGTGTGTGTGTGTCACACCTCACAAGTCTTTTAAGTGACTAGTGAATAAACTCTTGAACAACTTAACTTTTTTAATACAGTACTCACAAAAACTATCTCAAAACTTATCTCTACACTCACTTGGACTATCTCTACACTCACTTGGACTATCTCTACACTCACTTGGACTATCTCTACACTCACTTGGACTATCTCTACACTCACTTGGACTATCTCTACACTCACTTGGACTATCTCTACACTCACTTGGACTCTCTCTACACTCACTTGGACTCTCTCTACACTCACTTGGACTATCTCTACACTCACTTGGACTATCTCTACACTCACTTGGACTATCTCTACACTCACTTGGACTATCTCAACACTCACTTGGACTATCTCAACTGGTTTCTGTTTAAGTAACCTTTCCCTTGAAACAACCAAGTTTTGATCCTATGTTGATAAGTCTTGCTTTTTCAGTATTTACCAGCAAGTTTATTGCTGAATTAATTTACATTCGTCATCATCTACTTCGAGTAGAAATTTCGAAGGGTGGCATTCTTTTAATCACTTCTCAATGCCTACCTGTGATAGCCTCATCTTCACCCACATTCCTTGAATCACTGCTCTTCAATGCAGTACCAGCAGCGTCAGCCATTGCCTCGTTTCGATCCACCTTAGCATCCACATCAGATTCGTCAGAGTCTGCCTCCAATCTGGCATTATCTTCTTGGTCAACACTCACAGAAAACCTGTCGAGTGACTCCTCCTCATCGTTCTGGAAGTCGTTGTAAAGTAGAGCCTCGTTGGCATTCATCCTGAATAAGCCATGGCTGCTGTTGCACCTCGAAGAGTGATGGTTCCGTGGTGATGGTGCTCGTCTATCACACACATGGCGCCTGAGTCTTTGCCCCAGGCAGTTAAATCCAGACTCCATGGCTTCTCTCAATTTTCACCTCATCCTCTCGGAAGTTTCGAGAAAATTTTCGCACTTCATAAGAAAAAGTAAACGGCGGAGTGAGGGTGGGAAAGACGGGTGAAACGGGAAGTAAGAGTAAAGATGAGCTCGAAAATTAACGCAGACTAATGTCTGCAGATTTACTCAGAATTTCGGGGGATTTGGAAGGTTCCGGAAATTCTTGGAATGACCTACAATGGGTTGGTTGAATTCGAAATTCGGTATATTTCACTCGAGCGAGAACATTGAAAAAGTATATTTCTAGATCGGTAATTAATTTTGTTCGCTGATCCCAAAACTTTGGGCGCATGTGAGAATTGTCAATGCGAAGTAAATTTGTAAATTTTGTTTGAATTTATGGGTTACGAGGATTCGGTTTTCCTTGCGATAAAAGCATTCTGTGGTCGCGGATTTTCTGCAATTTTGCGCGCTTTGCAGCTGTTGCAGTTCTCTTGGATCTGTGGCACCTGGATTTGAGTCTGATTCGCTCTTTGGTCATTTCACTGTATTTGCCCTTGATTTCGGCCAACTTGAGTCTGGTTTTTCTGGATTTGCCCCATTTTTTCTTCAGGACTTGTTTTTTTTTTCAAAGCGGGGAAAATGGAGAGGGTGAAATTTTTAATGTTTTGAGGAAATTATGAGGAAGAAAAGAACCTTTTTGCCGGATGTTCTCGTCGGGTTCGCAGACCTCTTCTACGATTGGCCGGAATCTCATTTGGAAATGCAGTTTGTCCATGGGTGGGAAGAATCTGTGCAAATCTGCGTGATTATCTGCAGAGTAATGCTCCATTGCGTCGGGATTTGCAGTCGCGTATCCTGACCTCTCAGGTGTTGCCCTAGAATTCAAAAAATAATAATGATAAATATAATTAGTTGCCCTAAAAATATTGCTGCCTTTTTTTTTTATTCAACTTGACGCCTTGATTTTTTCCAATAGCGGGATTTATGCCAATCAACTCGTGCGATCAAATTTAAATTCTGCGTTAGCCAGTGCGGAATTTAAAAAATGAATCCCAATATCAAGAAAATTCGCGATTCACTAAAGAGACACGTGAATTTCAAAATTGAATTGTTCCTGCTCAAATCCCTCTTGGCTGATTTTCACGCGAATATATTTCAATTTAAGCAAAGTTTTCGATGTTCGATTCGATTTCCAAATATTATAGCGATGTCTCGGGAAAAACAACTGAACTTGGCAAGAAATCCTGCATATTTTTAGCCTCACATTCCTCACCTGAAAGTAAAAATTTGAAAAATATTTTCTAAACGTAAGTTACGTTTATCTGAGTGATCCAGAATTGAGAAAATATTGATGTTGAGTGAGAGTCATTGGTTTTTTCATGGATGCAATAAATTCTTCAACCATTTAAAGGCAAACATTTTCAGCAATTGCTGATTTAAAGTCAAGTTGAGCAGAAATTCTTTCGAGATGATTTTACGAGGAGTGGAAAGTGCCAATTTTTCAACGAAAAAAAAAATCTAGAAAATCTTTAAGAATACCGCCGAATTTGATTTTGCATCTCGAACTTACTTTTTTTTTAAAGAATTGTATGCTATCAATGCCAAAGTAATTTTTCTTTCTCACGTGTAAGCCGCGTTTATCTTGTACACGTCGTCAGGTGACAGCCACAAACGCTGACCAATGCCCCGAGGGCCAATGTGCTTCTTGTTCGGAATGATAGTTGGCAACAATTTGAGATCCGCAAAAGCATGTGCTGGGTAATGCATCACAGACCCGTAATCGTATCTTCCATTCTCAGACAACTTCCCGTACCGGATTTTAAACTGGGGCTCGAATCCTGTCAAAAATGACTGTCAATAACAAAAATATTTTGCAACTTTTTTCGCAGCATTTTTAAAAGTTGAAAATACAGTGCTGCGGAATTCGGCGTGATTATGAAGATAAATGATGGGTGCTGGTGAAATTCAGTCGAATGCGATGCATTTTTTCAGGTAATGCAATGGAACCTCGATAACTTGAACCTCCCCTTTTAAAAATTTTCCCCAAGTTATTGTTTGAAGTCCCGCATAAAAACAATGCATTAGAAACCTCCCTAATTCAAAGAATTCTCCCCTTTGAATTTATGAAGGCATTTTTTGGTCATTATTTCATTGACAGAGGAAAGAGAAAAAAATGTGACTTTCTTTATTGAAAGGAAGTTGTTATCCTATTTTTTCTCTTAGGCTAGAATTGAGACAACTAAGATTTATACTGAGCAACTGTTGAAGAATATGTTCAAATACCTCTTGGAGGTTCTTAACCCCTTGATTGCAGAGGGAAAAATCACCAAACAAAACAAGACCAAATAATTGAAACATACTTTCAATCAAATCTTTTTTTAATTAGAGCATTGGAAACTTGCAAGAATGCAAACAGGACATTTGCAGGAAACAAGATTTGAAGCTCTGACTCCTAGCAGAGGACTGTGGTATAGACAACTGATTTATGGGAGGAAGAGCTGTGGTTTTTGTATTGCTAGGCTTGGAGGCTGGTTCTGCCCATGTGCATTATTTAAAGTACAGACATGCAAGTAGATGACAGAAACTCTGTTCCAAGTCAGGATAAGGTAATTCAAAGTCTGGATGCTTTGTTAATGATTTTTTTCAAAGCAGGAACCAGATGGCTGTGTCTGGTTTATCACCAAGAACTGGTGAAACCAAATCAGTTTTAAAATGAGAGCAAAAATAGGCAAAGGCAAATAATGCACAAGTGCAAAAAATTCAAGTCTGCCAAAAATGCAACTTAGAAGACTTATCAGGCAAATCAAGCCTTGTCTCCAATTTCAGCATCCTGTAAAATAATTTAAAATGCAATTCTTTGGCCCAGAATATCACCAATTCAAAGTGTGTTATTCTTTCTTTTCCTGGACAAAAAATGCTCATTTCCTTACCTAATCAATTATTTCCTAATTTTTTTTTTTAGTCCCCTGAAGCTTGACTAGAAGGGTTCTACTTCAGTTCTACTTGATCAGGATTGGGTGGTAATTAATTTCAATAGGCTCATAAATGAATGCCTAAACAAATATGTACTGATTACCATGATGATAAATTGCTTTAGCAATAAACTACGTTTTCTTAATAATGCCTCAAAAATCAGTAAAATTTTATGTTTAAAATGAAGCTTCAAATAGCGTGATTATGAATAGAATTGCTGGGGGGCTGTTTCAGGTCATTCAAATTAAAATTATTGTTTTTGATGATACAGTTGTATACAATTGAAATTGCCTGGTGACATTTGAGTTAAAATTTCATTTGGTGGCGCGTCATTTGAGGAATATTCAATAAAAATGAGTAGAATAGTCAATAAAAAATGCGAATATGTTTCAGAGGTCATTGACATGTTTATTATTTTTGTTGATGACACCGTGACAATTCGATTAAAATCCTCGAAAATATAATTAGATCGAAGTTGCATTCGTTGCCTGATTGTTTAAAAAATAATAATATTAAATATAAATGTAGAAAAGAAAACCGTGAGAATTTAATATTTTTAAAATCATATCCTCACCCTGAGAAATGTTGCACCAGTTGACAAAGACGAACTTGTCCCTGTCTGGTCGACTGTGTTCGTGGTCAAAACCCAGGGCATGCATGACCTCGTGCATGATGGTGCCCTTCCTGTTGACCCCCTTGTCGCTCAGGCAGATCTCTTGTTTGCCCCCAATGAAACCCAGCTTGGAATAACACGCCCCCACCACGTGCCTGCGCATTCGGAACCAGAACTGAATTGCTAAATGAGAAAATCAGTGTAGGTGACCCCATTTTTCATTTTTATTTTTTCCTTTTTGTTGTCTTTTGTATATATTTTTTCGTATATTTTCACTGCTGACCAATAACCGTTTTCAGAGGATTTCTTTACCATGTGTGAATTGATAATTCAAGAAAATGGGAAAAGCAAATTAAAGTTTTATAATTTATTTTATATGCGAGGGTTGGTTCAAAAGTTTAAAAAAAAATATATATATATCAAAGGTTATATTGTTTTTCATAAATTTCAAATTTTCCATAATAAAATGCGAATGCAAAACATTTTTTTCTCCCGTCCACTTCTTTATTTTGTTTACATTTCTACTTATAGGTGATCAACAATTTGCTTAGGACAAATATTTTGTTATGAATTAAAATTCGCCATTTGAGGGGGTGAAATTATTCAGTGTTTTTGTTCCAGGGACTTCAGATGAATTTGACGTGGGGAATATTAATCACATAATTTGTTATCCAGGAAACATTTGAATTTGTTTCCAGAACCTATGATTTCCAAATTAGGCATACAAGACTTTTTCCTGCAGCTGTTTCCTTGTTTTGAGTTTTATCTTCTTACATCATCCCATGTTAGACATGACCTGTTTCTCTTTAATACATTTACTGTACATTCTTTTCTTTCACTGCCAACAGTGATTGATGTGTTTGCACCTCTGCACCAAGGATTTCAAAGGAAATATCTTGAGATGTTTCTTGTACATCATATGTATTGTGTGTATTTGCATTGGTTATATTAAAATATTCAACAAATCATCTACAAGACCTAGATAATTCATGAATATATGAAATGAACCTTGGGTGTCCTAGATTTGTGTGAAGGTATATATACAGTGAGACACCCACATGCGGACACCTTTGCCTGTGAACAATTCGACGTAGGGACACTTATTTTATTATGAAAAATTAATAAAAATGACCAGATTTGAGGACACTTGACTCAACATAGGGACATTTTGTGATAAAATTTCAAATACATTTCAGGCCAAATTACAAGAAAGAGATATTTCCAACCCTAAAATTGATGTAAGAAACGTTCTTTTGGCATTTCTCTGACCAATTTACCATCCATTTTGCTAATTTGAAAAAATTACTTCCAGCAGAGAGGGACTTACTTCTCTCTTTTTCACTTGAATATTTTTTTTAAACAGAGAATGCCAACATTTCTATGTACTGTACAGAAGTATTAGTATTAAATTCCCCAAATATCCATATTGTGTTGAAATATATTGATTGGGATCAGTTTAATTTGGGAGACAATTTTTATTTTCATGGGATTAGGGTCAGTATTTTGTACATAAAACACCAATTGAACATTATATAATGTAAGTCTGAGGGAAAACGAGACTCAGCTTAGGGACATTTCGACTTGGGGACACTCTTGATGCACCAATTATGTCCGCATCTCGGGGTCTCACTATTACCCAAGGAGAAGTATATTCCTCGGAATTATTCCTGTGTTGAATGCAGTTACTTCTCAGAAAGACTAAGAGTGATGTCCTGTGTAAGAAGACTTTCTTACAACTTGTCTATCCTGTTTTTGTTTAATGTTTGACTGCGAATATGTAACCAGCGGCATACCATCTCATTAAATTTTATTCTAAATTAAGTTAGTACAGACAACAAATCATTTGATTGTCAAGCTATATACACTGCTACCAAAAAGACTCGTGATGCTTGCTGCAAAGTCTGACTTTTGATGTCTTTTTTTTTTATTCATTTCCGAAAGCGTGTGAGAGCAAGCGATGGAGTTATTAATGAGAGGGATACTCGACTTGAAATGGATGAAGTCCTGTTGAAATGTCCTCGGGAACAACCGGACGTTGGTTTTCTCGTGGAACTCGTTAATGGCACGCCGAATTAGGTACTTTTGCGTGTCGGTAAACCCGTCGTCTAGCGTGTAGTGGATCACGTTGGTGGGCCACATCCTGGGGATGAAGTGGCCCTTGGGCACTGGGATGTCGTCATCCTATACATTCCCCGTGAGAAAATAATTATAATTGAAAAATGACTCTCATTTCAGTGTTCTCAACTTTTTTTTTGGTTTTTGGCGCACAGGCCAGTATAAATTTTGTTGTTGTTGGAAATATGAGGGTTGGTTCATGAGTTTTGAGACTTTGTCAAATAGATCAGACGGAGTTACAGTAATTCCAACAAATTTTTTTTACTCGCATAGCCGCATCATTTGGCAACACTTCCTTACTTTTCAATACTCTCTGCCGAGTGTAATTCTTTTTTCTTTTCTTTTTTTATGCGATAAATCCTACGATCAAAAGAAATGCGAAAATCGAGTTCACTGTTTTGGCACTGTTTTGATCGTTCGATTCATAGCATCAAAAAATGCTTTGCAATCGGCGAAGAGTTCGTTGAAAAGCACTGAGTGTTGCCAAATCATAGGGGTATGCATGTCAAATTTTGTTGCTGGAATTTTCGAAACTCTTCGGATCTACAGTATTTAAAGTCTCAAAACTTATGAACCAAAACTTTTATTGCAAAAATTAACTAAAAAAATAATAAAGACGCTTTAGTGGAATGTCTTTTTTTTTAACAGGCAGCTGGGCTTCAAGAAAGGTTTCTCAAAACAAAAACTTGAAATAATTTATTTCAGGAGGTGAAAATGTGTCTGAGAGGTTTATAAGAAGAAAAAGCCAACTTTTATTTTTCATCACTAAAATTTCAACAAGGGATTGTCTATTCGAAATTTCAGATCGAGATAACAAGACTTCAGTACTGTGTTCGATAAATTTATTACGTTGAAGAACATTTTCTGCGGTCACGGACTTGATACATTAAAAAGGGATTTAAAAATAAGTCTCACGTCTCTAAAAACCGGGTCAATTTGTAAAACGCAGCACTCCTCGTCCTCGAGTTGCATGAGCCTAAACTCTGCCCCGGTTTTGGGAAATTGTTCCGCAATCGAACGGAGTTTATTGAGAGAGTCCCAGCTGTACGCAACGGCATCTAGCGGCGCGTCTGCGAATCGGAACCCGCGGAGTTTGGCGTGCAAAATCGGATCGTCCACCTGGAGAAGGTCGTCGAGGAGGAGGAGGAGGAGGGGTATTTCTTTCTTGTCAATACACCCGCTCGGAATTTGATTTTCTATATATGGTTTTTTTTAATGCATGGGCTGAAAAGAAACTCACGTTCAGTTGGTTCGGATAGAGGGAGCTAGTGTTTGTGGCACTCACGTCGTTCACGCGGTACACGCTGTAATTGTGACGCTCGGCATCTGACGCTGTTCTGTCATGCGACCTGTTTTGATTTAGAAAAAGAAAGAGCACATTAAAGTGCAGTCGAACTTCGAGGAACAGCAAAAACAATTTTGACTAATGGGAGGTTTTGAGTTGAAGAAGCAAGCATTTGTGTCTGGGGAAAAGAAAAGAAGATTACAGGGAATTCCAATGGGTGATGCTCTATGCCTTGAATTGCTTCTCAAATTCTTTGAAAGAAAAGAGGCTGAACTTGGAGCCAAGGGTTCATTTTCACAATTTGTCTTTCCCTTCCTTTCAAAACAGGTCAAGGAATATATTTTATCACTTTTCTCTTTACTGTGTCAAAAATAATCACAGGAAAAGGCCTTCAGAAATACAGTGAGACCCAGAGATGCAGATGTAATTGGTGCATCAAGTGTGTCCTCAAGTCGAAATGTCCCTAGGTTGAGTCTTGTTTTCCTATAGACTTACATTATATAATTTTTAATTGGTGTTTTGTAGAAGAAATATTCTTCAGAATTCCCTGAAAAGAATTGTTTGCCAGTGAATACATTTTCAGCTCAATAAGAACATTTGGAGCATTGAATAGTGTATCTCTGTACTGTGCACTGAAATTTTGGCATCTACAAAAATAACATTTAAGTGAAAAAAAGTAGAAGTCCCTCTATGCTGGAGGTAATTTTTTAAAATTAGCTAAATGGATCGTAATTTGGTGAGAGAACTACCCAAGAACTTCTCTTACATCAATTTTAGGGTTTGAAATATCTGCTTCTTGTAATTTGGTATGAAATGTATTTGCAATTTTATCACAAAATGTCCCTATGTTGAGTCAGTGTTCTCATGTTGGGCCTTATTTATTGATTTTTCTTGGAAAATATGTGTCCCTATGTTGAATTGTCTGCAGGTCAAGGCGTCCGCATGTGGGGGTCTCACTGTATGATGGGAAAATCTTGGAATTCCTGAGATTTTTAATGCATTGTCTCCATGATGTACACTACTATGTACAGCATTTTGTATCATTTTTGTGTGGTGTCAATGTCAGAATTGGAGTGACACCTACGCGAGATATGATAAATTCTAAAGCTCCCAACACGTCTGAATGAGACAGAGGTAAACCTCACAGAATCGTTGAAAATTTGATGATTCGAAGGAACTCACGCGTGATTCGACGCAGTTTCTGACACCGGATAAATGACCTCGTCATCCTCGTTGACCCTATGTCTGAGTTCATGTTTGTGGTCATTGTCGGGGGACACGTCAACAGAGACCCCCAAAAACTGACTCGTATTTCCGTCCACGTCCAAAGTTATCCCGCAATTTTTCGGCGACTTGCGAGCAGACGAAGATCTGTCAGTCAGCAACGGAAATTTGGCATCTCTGAGAAAAAAATGTGTCAAAAATTTTTCTTGATGGGGGGGGGGGGGGTACAAATTAATGTTTCAGCAACATTTTAAAGGAATTTTTCTATTTTATGTGACCATGATTTTCCCTCATTACTGCTTTGTATGATATTCAACTCATAGCTGAACCTGATCAAAAATAAAAATTTTAATACAGTTAAAAGTCCCTGTCTGAATTTTCTGTAGAAAGAATCAATTAAAAATCTCTTGGACTGGAAAAATGTCCTCCAACTTAAGCATCATTTTCAACAAGGACCAGAATATCACCAATTGCAATTTCCTGCAACTCCTCTTTCTTTTCTCTCAGCAAAAATACTTTTTTCCCTAAACTGATTTTTTGTGGTACCCTCGATTAAAATTTTGAAGAAAGCGCAGGAACTTATTGTACATTTCAATTTATCTCATTTTCCTAATGTAGAACAAAACCCAACCTTAGGATAAAAAAAAGCTGAAATTATTCAATTGTCGACAGATCTTCGAACCAAAAATTACAGCGAATCGGGTGAATATTTTTTTTTCACGGTTTATTGTGTGTCGGTCAAAATATTTTGAGAAGGAACTGGAAAAAATGTGCGTTTTTCTATCTAAATAAACGTACCCGTGTCGTCGGTGGTGATGGTGTCGATGTCGATGATGTCTGTGTCGATCTCTGTCGGCCTCCCCATCGTCGTCATCATCATCATGATTATGATTATGCTCATTTTTCCCGCGTTCGTAAAGCGTCTTTCGCACAGAGTGTCGATGCTTGTCACTGTCGTAAAATCGGTCTGCGTCGTTTTGGTGTCGTTGTTTCCGTTGTTGTTGTTCGTCAAGCAGAGCCTGTTGTTCTCGCTGCTGTCGTTGCTTGTGCTGCTGGAGCACGTAACTCGCCAGGGTTTGGTCAGTCATTTGCGGAAAGAAAACTAGCTGCTTCTTGTTGACTACTCTTTTCGGCTTTTCCTCTTCGATCTCTTGTTTTTGTTGTTGCTGTTGCGGGTCAACTTCTGAGGAATGCAGAAACGTCAGAGAAGTCGGTTGGACGTGGGAGAATTCCGGAGGGTCTGCGTGGAAATACGACAGGAATTTCGCGTTGTCATTGCCCATGTGGTAAACCCTGAAATGCGGTACTGGGATAATTAACGGAAATGTAACACACACACACACACACAAAAAGACAATGAAGGGAGGGTAATGGGAGAAAAAATCAGCGAAGATTTTATTTCAATTAGTAATTATTGTGTTTTTCGCGGCGGAACGTAGAGAGCTTGGAAGGTTGCATTTCTTCGCCTGCAGAAAGGCCATTCTTTTTTTCAATTAATTAATTAATTAATTAATTAACAGCTAAAGTAACGGAATGCTGCATAATGTACGTCCCTGATTGGGAGAAAATTTGCACGTGCCGAATTTCTTGAACGCTAATGCAATTCTTTTAAAACGCAATTTAATATTTTCTCTAATTCCGACTGAAAAAAATTGCATGCCGAATTTAAATAATATATAAATTCAAATTTGTCGATTCACCCGTGAATCTGACGTGTAACAAAAGCTCATGAACCAAAATCGGATTTTCTGGACCTTGACTAAGGTCCGAAAATCCAACATTTGAGTGAATATAGCACAATATCATATTTTTATTATGCTTTATTTTGTTTCAGCAAAAGGAAGTTGGCGTCCAAGAGGATCATTTTATTCGCCTCCAGCGACGATCCACACAAGGGAAAATTGGATCTCCAAAAGCATGCTAGACAAAAGTCGCAGGATTTGAAAGACAATGGAGTGGAAATTGAGTTGCTGCCGATTGGTTCTCGGGACTTCAATGTCAACACTTTCTACGAAGCAAGTTTTATTTAATTTTTGTTGGTAAAAGCTTGTTTTCTACCTCTTGTGTATAATCTGAAAACAATGTATTCACCGGCAAACTTCGCAAGATTTTGATGAATGAAATTGTGTATTATCACTGCAGTATAGGATTTCGTTCTAAAGAAACGTCTGAGACCCTTGAAAAAACCTCATTGTAAAAAAAATTTTTTAAAGGAATTTAAAATGAATAAACGAATTAAAATTCACATATATTATTTTAATATGCTGCATTTTAAATTACGAAATGGAAATAATTCACGAATTTAAAATAACCTTCGTCTTAACAAACGACTTATCCAGGAAAATTCTGAGAAAGTGCTCCTCATTGTATTTGAATTTCTAGAATATCTTTACTTCATAATTTAATTAAGCGGTACGTAATTTTAAACTTGCTGTTTTCTGCGAGAAATTTTGGAGGAAGAACTTCACGAAGATTTCCTGTTCACTCAACAAATGTGTGGCTTATGATACATTTTTAAAATTTGGAAATTCTCCAATTATTTTGCTTGCTTCTCAGACAATTGTGACCAGTGCAGAAACAGATGCGACTGAGAAATTGCAACAGATGCAAGAAAGAGTGAGAAAGAGGGCCTATAAAAGGAGACCCAATGGACACGTGGAGCTGGAAATTGCCCCTGATTTGAAAATCTCCGTTGAAGTTTACAACCTGGTTAGGTAAGTTGAAGAAAACAAATTTTGCGATTCAGAAGATTTTTATTTATCAGAAAATGAAATTTTTATTTTTATTGTAACAGGTCGTTGAATAAACCAACTGCTGTCAAGCTCTCCAAGCGCACTAATGAAGAAGTTCTGGCCATAACCAACACCTTTACAAAAGTTTGTTTATTTTTTTTAATTTAAATGTTGCGAATGGTCTTTTCAATTTTCATAATTTTTATTTTTGCAGGAAACCGGCCAGCTTCTCATGTCTGATGACGTGGTGAAAACGCAGGAATATGGTGGCAAGAAATTCGCATTTTCTCAAGTATGCTTTTTTCAATTTCATATTGTAGAGCTGATTGCGTCTTTTTATTTTGTATTCTTATTATTATTATGACTGAAGTATGAACAGCACTTCTCAACTCTCAATCTTTCATTGTGTATTGCAACAAAGCTTGTTAACACTGATCCAATTTGGTTGCTGTGCGCATTCCTCAACCTTGTTTGTCAAATATTATATAAATATATATAGATATATAGATTATATTATGGTAGATAAATATACATAGATTGTATAGATATATATGATTGAATGAATGAACAGAACACATTATTTGCCGCTTCTCAGCGTTCACAAGGTTCAATCAAGATTTCCACAACCACACCCCCTTCCCACCAACATCATCATCATCAGTTTCAGGCACCAGTGCAACCAGTCTCAAATTGACATTCCTTCTGGGCATGAACCNTAATCACTTCAAAGCAGGACAGCACAAATTGATAACAAAAATAAAAGAAAATACATTAAAACATGAAATACAACTGGACATCTGACATGTATGCATACACCCATTCACTCCCATATATTATCATATATTAAGGGGATGTTAGATGATGCAAATAGTAATGGTTTAGTATTTCCACAAGCAAGATCAGCTAGTAATTTACTTGAGTCTACAACATCACAATTATCATGACAAAATTGAGTGATTAGGATCTTTTCTCTGCCTTTATTGATGTTACACTTGAGAAATTGAACAAAATCTTCTGCAGTTAGTATTGTACTCAATTCTAGGTACATTGCAGACAATATATGTATCGATTATATTTTTATCTATATAGTTTATATACAGGGGACTTGTACCAGCTGAAATAGCAATTCTCTAATGTGATCAACAGGCAGAAGCGAGAGAAATCAAGAGTATCCTGAAAGACCCCATCATCAGGATCGTTGGGTTCACTAAGCTGGATACTGTAGTCAAGCAAGAACCTTCAGAACCAGACCCTGCTGATCCAGACACTGTCATCAACAAACCCTTGAAGCATCTGAAATTACAACATCACGTGGCCCCAGCATCCTTCATTTACCCTGACGAAAAAAACATCAAAGGATCGACCAAGTTATTCAAGGCCCTGTTGAGTCGGTGTTTTGTGAGAGGTGTTGCCCCAATTGCCTGGTTCATGCCCAGAAGGAATGTCAATTTGAGACTGGTTGCACTGGTGCCTGAAACTGATGATGATGATGTTGGTGGGAACCGCTTGACACCACCTGGGTTCCACGTGGTTCCTTTGCCATATGCGGGTTCGTCATTTTTGTTGTTGTTGCGTTGAAACGTAATTTTCCACAAATAAAAAACCTTGGGGAACTGAATTTAATTCCTAGAAAGTTTAGATGCATTTGATGAATGTAAAACCCCATTTATTCCTTCGTCGTTTTCGCCGTGTTTCCCGGAAGTTGAGACCTGTGAACAAGTTTTTTTCTCGAAAATATTCCTCTCTTATTGGAAAAGAAGTTTTTTTTCTTCAAATATATTTATATTCGACATGTTTTAAATTTTAATTACCGTAATTTAAAATCGTCGAATTGAAAAGATTCGAGGATTTACGTCACCCTTCGTAATTTTCAGGATATTTCCCGAATATTGAAAACTTTAAACAAAACCATCACCTCGAAAAATATGCGAAAAAAATATTTTTTCCAAGTTGTCTTTGAACGTACCATTTTATGAGCGAAAAATATGAGAACAGCGAAAATGTGTGCGATTACTTGGTTTAATACCTTACATGTGACCTCGCTCGCGATTTTATTTAAAAAACAAAAAAACCTGCTGAAACATTTTATTGGTTTGCTTATGACTGCATGTTAAATCTAGCCTGAACATTTGCGATTTCCGATCGTAAAAGCGTGTATTTGAGGTTTTTGGCGGGAAAAGTTATTTTTAGTCTTCTCTGATATATTCGCAGATGACTTCAGGAATGCGGAGATTTCACCGGAATGCGAAATTGTCCCGAGCAACGATGAGCAAATCGAAGCCGCCACTGCTTTGATTGAGAAACTAAAGACGGAATATTCTGACGATCTTTTCAAGAACCCGAGTTTGCAGAAACATTGGCGCAATATTGAAGCCTTGGCTCTGGAGAAAGAAGAAGCTGATGAATTTATCGATACTACTTGTATGCTGTTATTGATAATCGTATGAGCTATAATAATTATAATTTCAATTAATTATTGAAATATTGCAGTACCAGATTTGAAAACCATCAAAAAGAAAGCTGAGAAAGAAATCGAGGCATTCAAAAGCGTGGTGTTTCCTGTTGACTATGATGGTGCAAAAGCAATCAAGAAGCCGGCTGTTGTGAAAAGAAGGTTTCCGAGTTCTGAGGATGAAAAGCCAGCTGCTGTCAGGAAGGTCAAAAAGGATGCCAGTGGGATTGACATGGACGAACAAGTCAAAAACGGAACCGTGAGTCTTTTGGCAACACTGTATATGCACATTTTTTCTTTCTGCAAGGAATTGCATAAAAATGATGAGATTGACTTCATTTAAAAATTGTGTCTCTGGCAGGTTGAAAAGCTCACAGTGGACATTCTCAAGTCCTACCTCAGTTCCCAAGGAGTCAAGATTTCTGGGCTCAAGAAGGCTGATTTGGTTTCGAAGGTATATTCCCTGGTTGAATGATGCAACATTCCGTTTATTTCTCCAGTGTTCAACACTGATGCTTTATGCACTGTCGCAATTGCCTTACGATTTTCTGCAATGAAATAAATGTTGCCCGTGTGCGTCTGAGAACGGGATTTTTTTTTAATCTGCAGTGGAAGATTTCAGGTTTTTGTCTGTGCATTGACCCCCNTGTGCGTCTGAGAACGGGAATTTTTTTTTTTAATCTGCAGATCTACAGTGGAAGATTTTAGGTTTTTGTCGTGCATTGATCCCCCCCCCCCCTCTTTTCCATCTCAATTTTTAGAAAAAGGTGCATGTGGTACTTGAGCAAATATGGTACAGTGTATCTCATGACTCTGTGAAATTGAGTCCCTCAGTCATTTGTAAACTGTGCATGTATACAAGAATTTTATATCATTAAAATACAAAGATGTCCACATTTGTGATGCAGACATTATTTGTCACAAAGTTTAAGTTAGAGTATTTAACAAAGCAAAACACTGTCATGGTAAAAATTTGGTTCATCAATTAAGTGAAGCCCCACTTTATTTTTATAAATTAAGAATTCAAAATATATAATCTCATCACAAAAAGTCTGAATGTAATAAATTTGTTTTTAGGTCCTGAAGCTCAACAGTCAAAATACTGTTTGAGTTTTCTTTTACTTGAATTTTGATTCTGAAAATTTTTTTTCCTGGCTGCAATGATTTTGTTGTGACAAGATTGTACTGCACACTATACTGTATTGTTAAAGCTCAAGGACAAATCATTGACAAATGTGAGAAGAAGTGGAGCATGTACAGTATGAATCATGAGAAAAATATGATTTTTAGTTTCTGGGTGGACAGTTTTTCAAGCTTGAATACTTATTTTTAATTTGTTAAAAATACTTTATACAACAACAAAGTACATAATGAAAGAGTTTTTGATCAACCCTTCAATTGTTGCAGTGTCACATCTGTTTGCATCAAATAAGTTCCTCTGTTACTCTTATTCATCTTTTTGCACATCTATTGTACCAATGTTGTAACATACTGTACAGTAAGCATAGCAGCATCAAAGTAATTCCTCATTTATTTCCTGGACTCTCCTTTTATTGAACTACTGTATTATTGCCAACTATAACTAACAAATAAGTCATCTTTTGGAGATCCTCCTCTGAACCCTTGGGATCTGATAAATAGGCTGCATGCCAGGAGACATCATTTGTGGAGAAGGGGGTTGAGGTATTGCCATGGGTGCTCTCTGCTGGAGAGGCATTTGTGGTGCAGGTGGCAATTGAATTGGCTGTGATGGTGGTGGGGCTGGACGCTGTAATGGAGCTGGAAATAAGGCACCAGCAGGAGGTACCATTGCTGCTGCTGCTGGGGCTCTAGGTGGATTTTGGAAGATATCTGCCAGGGGATCCGCCTTTGCTGCTAGTTCTGCTTTCTTGTTGTCCTCTGCTAGTTTCAAGTGTTGATCCACAAGAAGGTCCAACTATAATGGGAGCAAATTGACGTTTGTGCAATTTGGGGGTTATTCAGCACAAAATTTTGGTGGATATGAATGATTACAGCATTGCTGTATCCCCTTAGCCATCATGTGCACCTTTACCAACAATTTTAGAGCAAGGGGGACAATTTTCAACTTGGGAATTTTCATTCTTTCTTTGTGTGTGAATTTACTGTTAGATGGAGATTTTTGGAACTATGTATAAAATCACTTTATCTTAGTTCTTACATGATCTTTTTGTTGAGTGACTGGAGGAGCTGAAGGAGTTGTAGCCACAGTAGTAGTCTTCTTCTTTGTGGTGTCAAATCCAGAAACATCCAGGAATGCATCCAAGCTGGGTGGCAACATTGGTGGAAGTGGTGGAAGGAAATCAGGAACAGAGGGCAGCAGTGGAGGGGGAGCATAGCTCAGTTTGTTCCTGGAAAGTCTGACAATTTTGACCTTATTTTTTGTCTTGTTCTCTTGCAGATCATTCTCTTCAGGATTTTCCTTTCCTTGTGTCTTTATTGCAGCACCTCCAGATGGTGGAGGTGAGGAACTGTTTGGATCATCTGAGGCCTCAGCATTCCTGTCTTGTGCTTGTGGGTTCCCAGTTTCTTGATCCTCTCCTGAGCCTTCAGAATCGACTATGGCTGCTATGTTTTCTTGAGCTATCCCTATGCTCTTTGTAAGGCCTGCAAGTTTTTTTTCAAGTGAGACAATCTTTTTTATACTTGAGCTGTTGAGGATGAAGAAAGAACTGTTTTTACTCCAGTACAGTATTATACCATGCGCAATTTTTCCCTCTGAAAATTGGCATAAAAAAATGGGTAGCATGTCATAATTGAGTACATTACAAACTTTTGCCGCACATTTTCAAAATTACCCCTGCATTACATAACAGAAAAAGGAGCAAGTTGAATTCCATTCAATTATCCCATCAATACTCATAGAGTTGCTCTAATTCTTTAACAGAACACATTTTCCATTGAAACTGTGGGTAACTATTTCTCATACACGGATTTATAAAATTAAATTTGCAGCTCAAAAACTGAAGTCAAATGTAAATAAGCATGTGGTGGTGGTGCTTAAGTATAGTAAGTACAGTCATACCCCCAAAATTTTACTGACACATATTCCAAAAATATGTTTAAAGAATAATATGAAGAGTTGAAGACAGAGTCCTGCATTTTTATCTTAATGAAATCCAAAACAGTGTAAATTATATACAAAATGATTACAATTTCTGGGAAATGAATCAAGAGTGTATGTACTGTTCAAATTGTTTAAATATCTTTGAGGAATCATTGTAGAGGGAAATTTTAGCCTGGCTCCAACAAGCAATATTGCAAATGTATATTACCAGCAATTTCCTTCTCAAGACTCAGTTCAGGCATCTGGATACTCTCTGCAATGTGCTTCTTCTCCAGTTGTTTGTAAGCAACTTCCCTCTCATGAAGCTTCAGCTTCTCTGCCAAAAGCTTCTCCTGTATTTTGATAGACATATTTGACTTAATATCAATTGAGTACTTTTAGTATTGTACAGGTGGCACCTTGAAATTCAACCTTCCACAATTTGACCATCCCTCAATTTGATGGTCAAATTTGCAGGGAGGTTGACTTGCAATTTGACCCTTGCCCCACTTTTCAACCTTCCATTTTTTTCTTGAATTTTTCTACTTATATTTTGAATTAGATGGGAGTGTCTTGCAATTTGATCCTATTTTGGCAACAGATTAGGGTTGAATTGCAAAGGTACCACCCGTACTGATGAAAACAAAAAGGAAAACCTTGAGTTGGGCGTGAAGTTTGTCAAGTGTTCTCCTCTCCTCCATGAGTCTCTTTGCCCTGTCCTTGCGCCGCTTTTCAGCTGCTCTTTTCCGCTCTCTCAGGATCCTCGCGTGCTCCCTGCGGATCCTCTCCTCGCGCTCTTTGATCTTCTTGGCCAGCTCTTGCGCCTCACGGATCCGCCGCTCCTCCTCCTTGCGTCGACGCTCCTCCTCCAGACGCCTTTCCCGCTCCTCCCTCTCCCTGCGCTCTCGCTCTTCCCGCATTCGTCTGGCCAGCAATTCCTTCAAAATGGCGACACACAGAGCAAATGAAGGGAAAAAGAGCACGACTGTGCAATCTACTTGCATGCATATTGGTGCATGGTCTGATGAGACGTACCTGTTTCCAGAATCGGCTCTGAAATTCATAGTGCGTCTAGCATTAAATAGATGGCGTCTCAGGTTAGATGTGCCATTTTATATGGTATGCTTATACCTTTTTATGGAATGTTTCCACCACCGGAAAACCTCGTGGGATGATTTTCCGGTTGTGGAATATTAATTAGGATAATCTGTGTAAACTTGAACTTGTGGGACAACAGCAGCATTTTGGGGTATATTCCTTCACGTGGGACATCTATACCTTACATGTCACATAGTCTAAGTGCCAAATTTACTCAAGAACCATCTCCCCTTGAGTAAGATACAGATTTTTTTGTGAGAAATTTGCTGAAAAACGTATCCCCATTCAAGGCCCATGCCCCAGTTATTTTTTCTTGCTAAAAATCAAGAATTTGGAAGTTTTTTGCATGGATCCATTTCCCCCCTTTTGGTATTTTGTTATTCCTGTTTTTTATTGTCTGCTGGAACAGTTATTGAAATGCGCTTGCAATGTGTGACAGCAAAATATTGGAACAATGTAAATTATTCACATAACAATAATTATGAAAGCATTCCAGATACAGCCAAGAGTTATCCACCATGTCACAGTGTGCTGAAAAGTTCAGGCCTGCTGAAAATTGAAATTTTGTTGTTATTTTAACCACTATCTTTTCAACATTTTGAATAATGGTTTAAATAATATAGATACAGTTGACCCCTATACACAACATAATTACTTTGTGCAATGGACCAGTCTGTTATGTGAAAAGTCTGTGATGTAAATTTGATTTTCCTATGTTTACACTTATGCAAAACAAGCAAGATTACAAACTGAAGAACACAAAAAACGCACATTTCCAGCAATAATAATGACATTTTATATTTAAATTAAGTTGGGAAGCAAGGGGAATGTCAGGGAGCTCATACCCACTGGCAGCACTTATACTTCTGCAGACCAAAGTCTGTTATGCAGATTTGTCTTTTATGTGAGAGGAAAAACCACCTCAGAAGGCTGTATTTTCTGCAAAAATCTGTTGTGCAGGAGGTCCATTGTGCAGGGGTTGACTGTATTTCATTTTTTTTAGCTGCTCTTACAAATATTCATCACCTGCATGTGACACAGTTTGGATGTGTGGAGGCTGACAAAAACTGCAAAGTTTATGCAGTCATACCCTGATAAGACGCCACCATTTGTCCAGAGCAATTTTGGCGGTTTGAAGAGGTTGGAAGTTTATCAAATATTTAATCAGAAATATTAAATTTTCCTCCAAAAGTGATAGAGATACAGGTTATGTAAGAAACTTCAAAAATTTTCCAAAGAGTATTGCTGTGATCAATGGATTACTCTTTCAGAAAATAGATTTTGCTGCATTAATTTATCCAAATTTAAAGATTAGGTCAATTTAATTTTCAACAAAATGATCATTATTTTTATTTTTTGTAAAAATACAAGATCCTTGGCAGAAATTATAATTCTACTCCAATGTTGGCATTGTAACAAAGACAAAACTAATTGGAAACAGCGCTTTTGTTTCATCACTAATGCTGGCAGATGGTGGTTGGCGTCTTATCAAGGTTTTCTATAGAATTTAACATGGAGGAGATTTGTTTCATTCAAAATTTTGGCAGTTGGCAAGGGTGGCGCTTTATTGGGGGGCGTCTTAAGCAGGGTTTGACTGTGCTTATCATGGTGCAGTAAATTGAAAAATGTTTTTAAAACTCTGTAAAAAAAAATCCCAGAACCTCACATCATGATGGGCTATATTTTGAATTTTTTTTACAAGTTCTTTGCGTATTCTAGAAATTACCAAGGTCGTGCTCTAAAGTTGGCACAACAACCCATGGTATTTCATGAAATGGATGGAACTGACTTGTTCTTGTCGCCGTCTTTCAACCAGCTCTTTGCGTCTGGCCTGGAGCTTGTCAATCTGCTCTTTGCGACGCGCTTCTTCTTCTTCTTTTCGTTCGCGTTCGAGTCTTTCCCGTTCTCGACGAGCCTTTTCATCCATCAGTTCCCGTCTCTTCTTCTTCTCTTCTTCCAGGTGCTTCTTCCACGATTCTTCTATCTTTCTGCGTTGTTGGTCCAGTCGACGCTCTTCTTCGCGCTCTTTGCGTTCCCACTTGCGCTCTTCCAACTCTAGTCTCCGCCTCCTCGCGAGAATTCTGAGGAAATATGATTGGAATAAGGCAATAAACAGAGCGTGTAAATATTGTAGATATACTCCATAAATGACATCAAATTAAACTCATTGGTAGCATGATTTAAAACCTGTGGAAACCCACCTGCCATTTTACATAAACATACAGTCAAACCCCCACACAACATACTTAATTTGAGCTAAAGACTAGTCTGATGTGGGGAAAGTCTGTTGCGCAAATTCAATTATTACAAAAAATTAAAATATTCATTTTTACCATAAATTTCACACCAACAGAAGTCTGTTAAATGGGTTTAGTCTGTTGTGTGGGAGCGAAAACTCCCTTCCAGAGGTTGTCCATTGTGCAAAAATCTGTTGCACGAGAGGTTTGTTGTGCAGAGATCAACTGTAGTCTATCCCTAACCGGTGATCTGATGATTTCTGCTGGTCTGCAGGAAACTTTCTTCAGCATAATACTGTACATTTATCAAAAGTAGCAATGAAGTCTGTCATCTTGATTTGAAATTTTGGAAAGACAATGGCAGTTGAAATTATCTAATGAAGAATGAAAGTCAGTTTTTAAAAATAATAATAACACTTCAGAGAAATTTTCACTGGCTGAAATACATTTTTTTCATTTTGAGAAAAATTTCTTCAAGCCCATCACCATATACTAAGACATTACACAACATAGTTGCTTCATTTATCTTGACTTATAATTTTTGTAAAATAGTAAAAACTTCTTATAAATACTTTACCTGCCATGCAATCTTTCAGATAAAAAAAATTGCTTTGAGTCTAGAAAAATTGTATGAAACTTTGCTAGTCCACAGAATATTTTTTTGGATATATTTGCAAGTCTGTGAAAATCCATTTGCCAGTCCAGCTCCAGCATGTGCCAAAAAAGGTTGGTTAAAAGTGGTTTATTGTATTTAGAATCTCCTGGACATTTTTTTATTTTGGACTTCCCTCTGGAGTGGATTGAGTGCATCAACCCAGGTATACATAGCATTAAGCCTACATGCATTCATTTAAAAGCAAATTTACTTACCTTTTATCTTTCTTTGAACCCTGCAAAGAGGACAAAATGTCACTCTGGTTGTTGTCTTCTTGGTCTTCATTGACAGTTGACTCTGTAGTTGCTGCAGATGGAATGGTTTGCACTGGTGAAGACTCTTCATCATCTGTTGGCAATTTTAATGATGATTGCTGAGTTACTATATGATGAAAATACTTGAATAATTATACCATTATCCTATAAAATTAGTACCTAGCCCTTGTATGAACTCGTGCTGAAAATAATAGCTCCACACCAAAAATAAGCCGTATGAAAAATGCCTTTCTTAATTATACAGGTGGTGCCCTGCAATTCAACCCTGATCCATTGCTGGGTAAGGGTCAAATTGTGAAGCAGTTGAATTGCAAGACAATGTCAAATTCTATGTTTTCTGCATTGAATTTGACATTTTGAGTCTCTGTGCATGTAGAATTGCAGGGCAGGAGGTCAAATTGCAAGTCAACATCTGAGCAAATTTGACCGTCAAGTTGCAAGATGGTCAAATCACAGGATGTCAATTTTGAGGTACCACCTGTATGGAGCATGTCTCATTTTTCTGATCTAGTTTTATATAATACTGAATTTTCTAGTTTTCTTGTCTGATGGCATTGATCTGAAGCTTTAATCTTTAAAACCTGGGGAATCAAAAAAGTTGATTGCCCAAAGGTTCAAAACACACATTCCAAGGAAGTTATTTGGGAATGTGTTGTGATCAGAATTACTGTATGTCAATTAATCTGTTAATAATGGATAAAATACTATCATGATGATTCATTAAATCCTTCTGATATGTTTTGAAGGTACCAAATCAGCATGCATCAAAGAAAAAGTGCCTGTAAATTAAAATGCCAAATTCAATTTGCTTCTTTCATCACTGCATCACCATTATTGGCATCAGATGATTTCTTTTCTTGTCCAGAAGGAACAGCTTCTCGCTTGACAATCTTGGTCTTCTGGATTCTCTCCAGCTCCAAGTCGACATCTTTGATGGCTCTGTCCAGCTCTTTGATAGCAGCATTATCCTGAGCCAGTGTAGTGTTGTATTTGGGGAACAATTTCCCCGCGGGCAAGTTTGGCAACACTGGGTCGGCGAGAGACGAATCCGCGGGATTGTGCATGCGTTTGAATTGGCGTTTCAGCGCTTTTTGCATTTTGGCGCGTGGCTTGGTCCTCCTGCGAATTTTTATTCTGCGTCTGCGAGGTTTTTTGGTTGTCGTCGTGATTTCGACTTCTTCTTCTGCTGAGGTTAGCATTTCCTCGCTCAGGGATTTCGTCTTGTTATTATTGTTTTCCGAAGAATTCTCTTGTGATGTTTCAGCCTTAAAATAAAAAATCAATAATTGTAAAAGCTTCCATCAAAGATCCTGAGCATTTTTTCAAAGTATATTTATTGAGATGAATTCAGATTTTTTTGCAATTAGAAGTATGGTCATTTTTGAATATTATGAAGCAATTTAAAAAAGTTTTCCAGCGTATATATATTTGACAGCCACATTTTATCGAGGCAAATACACTGAGAAAACTTGAGAAACCAATATTCAAAAGACTTGGGATTTGAAGAAATTAATGTATTGGGATTCTCCCAAATTTTGAAGGATCAGGAACAAGTGTTACCTATACATCATTCCTCTTCAAAGAATATTTATAAATTGTTTTATCCATTGGGAACAGGTTAACACCTTAAAATTTAATTTTCGCTCATATAGTAATTGCCTTGTGCTATTATCTTTGCCACCATTCTTTAAAAAAAACGATGGAAATACATTATTCCTGCATTTTATATGTATTATGATGAATTTTTTTCAATTTTTAGATATAGTGAATTATTTTTGATGAACCAGAATGCGTGAATTGATGTATGGAGTGGAAATTTTTTTTTGAAGTTTTTAAACAAAGACAAAAGGCAATTTAAGCTTATATATCAATCAAACAATCAATCAAGAAACTTTCTCCATGATGCATGTGTTCTTATAGGAGTAATTTTGATTTTGATTTTGACCATCATTTCCTGGTACTTCTAGTACTTGTGTGAAATACAAATTTTCATTTCTTTGCAAAAGTAGGAAGGAGCATTTTGGAGCAAAATGCATTAAATAAGAACATTAACAGAAAAAATAAGGAATTCCTTGCCCAAAATGCAGTATAAAAACATCTTGAAAGTTTGAAATTATAATCTTTATAAAATTGTATCTGTGGGTTTTTCTTGTGCAATGATTTTTGAAAATGGTATAATAGCTGTGTGCCATTTATTTTCTCCACTGCAGGAATGTGTTGCTTGAGGCTTTAGTTACCTTTTGAATTTTAAGGTTCTCAGCACTGTTAGTGGTGGTGCTGGTGGATATGGTAGAGGTCCTGGTGGTGGTACTAGATGGTTTTTTCTTCTTTGGCTTGGAGGAGGTCTTGATGGTCTCCTCCAAATCCTCAACAGAATCTGAGAACAACTTGGACTTCTTTTTCTTGGTCACCGCCTCTTCTTCCTCACTGGACTGCTGTTGCTGTGGTTTTTTGGTCACCTTTGTGGTACTCTCTTTTTTAGCCTTGGTCACCACCACATCTTCAACACTGGTATCAGCCTCAGTCTCTTCAGAAGACTTTTTCTTGGGTTTGCGTTTCTTATTATTGCTGGCTGCTCTCCGAGGCCTGGTTTTGGAAGGTTGAGTCATTGTTGGAGTTGAATAAGGGGATTGAGTTGATGCATGCACTGGTAGATGGTGCTGCTGAGTCAAGATGCCCTGGATGACTTCGTCATTGTTTTTGTGCTGGTATTGAAGTTTATGAGATAAACTTCGGTCATCTGTTAGCATGATAGGGTTGTCTCTGTTGTCTTTCTTTCCCCTGAGGCTGTAGAACCTCCAATACTCTTTGACTCTGTGGTCTGAATTGCTGCCAGTCCCTTTGAAATTCATGGGCTGGAATGATGGCTGCCCCCAGGCAGATGGTCCTTCTGTTGGCCAATGAAGAAAAAACGTGTTTTGATACTATCTTTCATACTTGCTACTTCTGAATAATTTTTTCTAGTGAATAAGAAAACATCAAGGTAAAGTTGGATTTAACCTTTTCTACTTTTGTATACAGGTGGTACCTCACAATTCAGCCAACTCAAAATTTTATGGTCAAATTTGCTTGAAGGTCAACTCACAATTCAACCTCTTTACCAAAATTTGAACTGCTTTAGCCTCTTTTCTAGTGTTTTTGTGCTGTTTGCCCTTGATTTCATAGAGTGTCTTGCAATTTGACCATTTTGAAATTTGACCATTTTGCAATTTGACCATTTTGCAATTTGACCATAAACGTTAAACTGGTAAAACCTTAAACTGGTAAAACCTTAAACTGGTAAAACGTTATTGACCATTTTGCAATTTGACCATTTTGCAATTTGACCATTTTGCAATTTGACCATTTTGAAATTTGACCATTTTGCAATTTGACCATTTTGCAATTTGACCATTTTGCAATTTGACCATTTTGCAATTTGACCATTTTGCAATTTGACCATTTTGCAATTTGACCATTTTGTAATTTGACCATTTTGCAATTTGACCATTTTGCAATTTGACCATTTTGCAATTTGACCATTTTGAAATTTGACCATAGTTTGGCAATGGATTAGGGTTGAATTGCAAGGTACCATGAGCATATAGGCACTAAAATGAAAGAGTGCATAGGATAATGTCAATGCATCTCTATAATTTGCGTGCATATTTTAACCCTGCTGAGGACACACGTAATACCAAAAAATATAATAAAGATGCTTTTAGATTTTATGTTTTGGACATGGTTAAATGAGTCAGAACAATAAGCAGAAAAATGACTGGATATTCCACATAAGAGCAAGTCTCAAAAGATGAAACTGAAACAAAATTTTCAAGTTCATGTGAGAAAAAGTACCCTTTCATGCATGGAATTTCAAAAATGGCCAGAATTTTGATTGTCAGATGCTTCCTTTAGAGGGAAATGCTTGAAATTTTTTCTATGATATTTTGGTTTTAAAAAATGTCTGGAACCTCATACTGATTTTAGCAACAAACAAAAAACCGTGTCTGATTTCTGCCATCAAAATGTTTGCTCTTTTTTGCACAAAAAAGGTATCCCTTGCTGTTTCAGAAGCATTTTTTAAAGAGTAAATAATCTTGACTTTTCAATTTTCTGTTACATTCATTTTCAGTTTCCAGAGAAATAGTGAAATAGTTTGTCATAACAACTTTCACATTTCTTTGGGATGTATTGTAAGTTGTAACTTATTGTTTGGGCCATTCTTTGTCACATACAATGATGTGTAAAACAAGACATGCATTTTAAGAATCATTTAATGCATAATTTTTAAATTTAGTAATATAATGAAAATTTTTTGTTCACTCTTGTGCTGTTTGAAGAGTGGTTATTTTGGCACCAGCTTGTTTTCATACTCACTATTTTGAGGTCTGCCCTTCTGATCAGCATCCAAAAAGGTCTTACCTTGAAGGGCTTCTCGTGGAAGCCTTTCAGCAACACTGCCAAAAACAGCAACTGAAATCAGCACTAAAACTTGGGCTTGCATTAAAACCACGCCAGATCTGGGCATGGCCCTGCCCTACCTGTCCTTATTTTAAAATTTAAAAGAAGGACAAAAAGGCTTGCTTCAACTTACTTCCCCCAACACAAATAAAAATGTGAGAAAAAAAATGTATGAACCATAGGTTGAAATCTCGAATCCTGCGGGTGGGAAAATGGACAATATTTTCACTCAGAAATCCGGAATTTTCGCATCTGCTACCAGGTGGATATTTTTTTTTTTTGAAATAAGAATTTACAGAGGAAAAACCTTTTTCACTTCTACGCTTTTTTCACCGTAAGAAGAAAACACAGAAATGAACAGCTGATCCACTTACAACAACTATAGGTGATGAACTGGGAAAAAAAAAGGAAGGATACCTAGAAGAACTTGCTGCCAAGAAAGAAAAGATATTCTGACCTTGCAAAAACTATAGAAAAAAGGAAGGGTGGAAAAAAGGACGGTTGACATTTTCCATATAGGCGTTCGTGAAGGGCAAGCAAACACAAAACGACGGCTTTCTGTATGTGCAAAAAGTGCTCAAAGGCAGACGCCATTTGTTTACTCCAGTTTTCGCATGCTTGGCATGCCGAACAATGGTTTATCCATTTTCTCCAGTTTCCTCCTTGTCCATCTATTATGTATCATGTGTTTGTTTCGTGGGAAAATGAGGCATTTCTTATTATTCCGATGCGTGTATTTGCATTCTGGGCGGAGCGTGTTTGTGTTTCTCTTTTCTTGGAAACGAAACTTGAACAAAAAATAGTAATTGGGCTAATTTTGTGTAAAATTGAAGTTTCCATGTCTTGGTTTCCCATTATGAAGGCTCATTTGGTCTGAGGGGAACATCACTGTTGAAATTCTGGGAAATTTGAAACAAAAATATCTTCTGTGATTAAAATAAACCAAATTGTGTTGTTTTTCACTTGTCAGGCACATTTTATTGGAGAGAATGCACTGAGAAAAATGCAGGAGATGCGTTCCCTCCTCTCCAAACTTTTATTTTGATTTAAAAATTGTTTTTTCACAATCTTCATTTTGATGAGTCATCACTAGCTACTCTGTCACATTGCACTTGACACAACTGGGAATTTGTGCACAAATTCCTGAAGTAAAATGCGAATTTATTGATTTTCCTCAGAGAATTATTTTCACATCATGACTCAACAGAAAATGTTAAATTTGCCAAAGCATTCCAGGAATTTTTTACAAGCATCAAGAAATTACCATTGCTGCCATAAAATGGACTCAATTTGTGCAACATACTAATCTGTTGTGTGAAAAGTCTGTTATGCAAATTAAATTGTTGGAAAATTTAAAAATTTCCTTTTTATGATTATACTGTAATACTAAACTGACAGAAGTCTGTTATGCAGATTTAGTGTGTTGCACAGGAGGGAAAACTGCCTCTAAAAGCAGTCTGTTGTGCAAAAATCTGTTGTGGAGGAGGTCCATTGCATGGGGGCTGTATATTGAATAAATTTCACATGATTTGCTGTAAAAGCATGAACTATGAAATACAGTCAACCCCTGTCTAACGTACCTCCCATCTGACAGATGTTTGTCTAACATACCATCTCTGGAGTCTAAAGGCAGTTTTTCATCCCATCTAATGTATCAACTTCATCTAATGCACCTTGGTCAAGTTAAAATTTTTAACATGTATATTACCTATTGAAAAAGTTAATTTGTCTAATGTGTTTTTGTCTAACATACTTCTCCTTTGCAAAAATTAAGCATGTTTGATGTGAGTTGACTTCAGTCAACCCATAGTTTCAGTGATTCAAATTTTACTCACAAAATGTACTATATCTCAAATAATTAATAACACAAATGACAAAAATTGTACACATACACCTTAACTTTTGAATCAAAATTTGAAAAGGATTGTGTAAATTGACAAAAAATTTACAATCTACATTGTTTCTTGGATAAATGGAAGACTATTTTCAATTGCTTGGCTTTAAAAAATTTTGCATTCCAGTCTCACTATATATAAAAGTCACTGAGAAACCTTTTGATTAAAGCTCATTGTGTTGCGGGTTGACTAGATGTCGCCTGCAGCGCAAGTACAGTAAGGAACAAAAAGTACAACACAGCGTATGAAACACCATGTCATACAAGAAAAGAAATTCCAGACAAATTGAAACAAATAAAAACAATATTTTTTAAATCCAAACATTATGAAACCTGAAGATGTTTTTCTTTTGGAAAAACATTCCATCAAGTGAATTGTCACTTGATGAAAGGATTTATCAGGAAATTTATAAACAGAAAATTAGCCACACCCCAGTGAAAACCTTGGAGAAGCTTTCCACTGGGGAGGACCTGGACCTGTGAAAAACTATCAGAAGAATCAATCAATCCTGCTCTGAACTTTGTAGAGAACAGACCTGCATATTGTGTGTGACATATTTGGTTGGAAATATTTGTGGACTTGGACTTTGAGTTATAAACAGATGTTGAGGAGTTTGGAATCCTCAGGCCACAAACGGCCGATTGTGTTTTCTAGGCTTATTTCACTATAAGCCAAATCTTTGTTGTGTGGTCTAAGGACCTACCACACATTGAGATTATAGACATATTTTGATGAAACTTCACTTCAAGTGAAAAGGTGATGTTATGCTCATTACTCCACTGCTAAATGTTTTTCAATCTTTTACCAGGAGATTTTCAAAAATATCAGTGTTTCTTTGCTAAATTTCAAGAGGATTATTCAGTTTCAAACAAAGTGATGAATTGTATTCAAATATTCTACAAGTAAAAGACACTGAGTTCTTGATTTTTAATATTGTACTTTGGTGATCTTATGAGTTGAGAAATGCTGAATATCTGTGTATGCATATTTCATTCAGAGTTTTTCACAATTGATGCGAATTGGAAAATGTTCATGCAACAATTTTAATATTCCGTTTCCATCTCATTCCCTCGTCGAAATATTTCACGAACCGTCCCATATATTGAATAAGCAAAAACTAAATGAAAACACGAACAAAAACAGTTGAAAATAAATAGCACTGTATTTTCCTCCTGAAATCCAGCAATTTTTATTTTCCAAATCCTCTTCCAGTAGCCAGGACTCTTTCGTTCTCTCGCTGAAGAAGAAAATCCCCAATTCCGCCAAAATCAGCTCACATCAGCAGCAAAATCCCAGGACTTCCGTCTTCAACGTCATTCGCTATCAGCCACGCGATCTGCCAAAAATCAGACACCACGCAAGAAAGAAAGAGCGAAAAGGCGGAAGAAAAAAGAAGCCGAACACATGTGAAGAACACGAGAGTGAATAAAAGCAAATAAAGTATAGACGAAGGACGAAGAGTAAAAGGGGGGAAAAGAGAGAAAGAGAGAGAACATATTGTGTCTCTCAAAAAATATTCTTTTCTCCCCTCAGAAAATGAAATTTAATAATTTGAATTCATATAAAAAAAAAGGCGGATCTGAATCCGATAAAAGCTCGGGTATTTTTCTTCAGTGCTTGTTCAGGTGTTCTGTTGCTCTTTCTCTATCTCTCTTTGTCTCTTTTTTTTGTTGCTGTTGTTCGTGGGTTTTGTTTTTGCACGTGTTGTTCGCGTGTCGTGTTGTTTTTCTTCACCCCTGTTCGGAGAAAGAAGAAAAGAAAACAATTTTGAAATAACCGGCAAAGAATTCACGCAAGCAAAAAAATAAAAATAAAAGAAGAACCAGCAGAGAAAATGGCAAGAGGAAACACAGAGAGAAGAAGAAATATTTCGTCAGTCGAACCCCATTATCTGGATAAAGCTTTGGAGTACTGTTATGGTATGCGACTATCCAAATTGACGTTCAGTATGCGACCAACCAGAAAAAGGCGTGGCCAACGTGACTTCAGATATACGTTACTTTTTCAACTTTTCCACCAAATAAAAAAAAATTATGATCGAAATACAGTATTTTTACAGCTGAAACAACCAAACCTCTTCACAACATAATCTTGACATAAAATGAATTTTCCATGGATTCTTGCTGCTCAAAACTAAATTTTCACTTCTCTGCAGCACAGGGTCAATGTTTTTTTGTTCAAACAAGTGTAGGGAAACCATGTTTCATTTCTAAAAATTTCGTGCGGGCCAAATCTCTTCATTTACACAAGACTCAATGGAATTGGGAAGATCAACATTTTAATAAACTAAAAAATCACTCAACTGTCTATAGACTTATTGTAATCCATTCAAGTGTATACTAAGCAATTTAAACAACTAAGCTCACCAAGAACACAGCTAAATGGGGTCAACACTTGACTATACTCTATTCACAGATCACAAAAAAAGGAATTGAGTGACATTACAAATATAAATTTAACATAGTCAAAAACCTAAGGTGAGGCATTGAAAAAAAAGCTTAATCCATTTCAATGGCTGAAAAAATCAGATGAAATGGAGTTTTTTCATGCCTTTTTGCTTAGCTCATATTCTGCCCATATCACTCAATGTAAATTATTTAACCCATGTCTTAAATAGCTGACATCATTTAATAATGAAAAATAACTTATATACTGTATGTCATTTTCTGGTAAGTCACATACAATGAGATTATTAATTGTATTTCTGGGTGTGTTCTGGGTGGCCATTCAGGTACTATAACATCACCAAACTTTTTTCTTTGGGTTGGCAGGTGGGGAAAATGTACTTATTGATCTTCATTGAGTACTATACTCACTTGGGTACCATTCAGCCATTATTTTTGCAAAAAAAAAAGTAGATTACTCCCCATTTGAGATTCATAATGTCATAATACTGTATGTGTACATATGGCAGGAGCATTTTTTCTTGTCACAGTTTTGTTTGTGGGGAAATGGTACACAAGTAAACACAGTGTCTTGGAAACCTCAATAAATTATATGGGTGGTACCTCGCAATTTGACCATAATCCCTTGCTGGACTAGGGTCAAATTTCAAGACAATGTCAAAGGGCATGTTTTCTACATGGCATTTGATGTTTCATGTCTCTCCACAGGTCAAATTGCACAGCATTGGTCAAATTGAGAACTGACGTCCCAGGAAATCTTATCAAGTGTCAAATTGTGGAAAGTCAAATTGCAAGGTACTACCTTTAATGTGTTGTTTATACAGTGAGACCCCAAGATGCAGACATAATTGGTGCATCACAAGTGTCCCTATGTTGAATTGTCCCTAAGTCAAGTCTTGTTTTCCTGTAGACTTACATTATATAATTTTTAATTGGTGTTTTATGGAAGAAACGTTCTTCAGAATTCCCTGAAAAAATTGTTTGTCACTTGAATTTGAATTAGTGAATGCATTTTAAACTCAATAAGAACATTTGGAGCATTGAATAGTGTATCTGTGTACTGAACATTGAAAAGTTGACATCTTCAAAAATAAATTTCAAGTGAAAAAAAGTAGAAGTCCCTCTACGCTGGAGGTAATTTTTTAAAATTAGCTAAATGGATGGTAAATTGGTGAGAGAAATGCCAAAAACTTTTCTTGCATCAATTTTAGGGTTGGAAATATCTGTTTCTTATAATTTGGCCTGCAATGAATTTGGAATTTTATTGCAAAATGTCCCTATGTTGAGTCAGTGTCCTCAGCATGTCAGGCCTTTTTCAAGAATTGTTTCTGTGAACACAAGTGTCCCTATGTGAAATTGTCTGCAGGTTGAGGTGTCCGCTAGTAGGGGGTCTCACTGTATATAAGGTCTTGGTTCTTTTCATGGATAAAAAAACTGAGAGAAAGTTGGATGCCAAAAGAGTTCTGTTGATGATTTTTGCATTGGTGAAGAGGGGATTGTGTTTGAGG